TAATAATAATAATAATAATAATAAATACAATATGTATGAGAGGCGGCCTGATCTGCCCTAGGAGACAGACAAAAGTGCCACGTGTGTAAACAAAGAGACCCAAGCTGAAAACAATTATGGTAATGAACGTGCAATTCAATTAGAGTTCCATAGAGGTCGGGCGGAACCCACGAATAGAAGCCACAGTGTGTAATGACGTGAATGAATGCTTAAACGAGCAACAAATGCGCCTAGTATTCCAAAGGACGATATTTTTTCCTCGCTATGCATCTTGGCAGCAACCCCCCACTCCCAAATAAAAAACAAAAGCCGAAAAAGACAAAACAAAAGATATATTTTGTTTTAAAAACCTAGAATAAAAAATACTGTGAATTGTGGGACTGTCCAATATTGGGATGGAATTGGGAAATTATACCTTTTATTAAAAAATGACTCTATTGTTTTTACTTTAAAAACTACATTTAATAAATTCACGCTCTCCTAATTCTATTGTGTCACAGATTTTTCCCCAAGCACTGCAGATGACGTTTCTTAATATTTGCATGGAAGCAAAAGTGGTCGAATGGAGCGCTTCCGGCTCGCCCTATATCGTATTCTTTGTGCCATCAGCGCTATAAAGTTACGAATGCTACCTGGTCAACCAGCTCTATGAGTCTACAAAATCAAGCACTTAGGCTACAAAAAAAAAGATCTCTCAATAGATAAACTAGGGAGATTCAATGGAGCCTTAAGAAATTACAAACCTCATTTAAAATAGTTGGTAGTTTGATCAGCCATATAAAGCTGTATCTTTCTTGACTCTAAACTGCGACAGTAAAACGTAAAAGTAAGTAGGTACTCCTAAATCATTCGACCGGAAAGGATGCGTTTCTCAACACAAGAGCCTCCAGCCCAGTATTGGACATTGAGTGAATCCCAACTGTTACGACAGTGCCATAACAGGACAATAGTCTTGTTTCTCGCATGAACAAGGCTTCCACAAAATTGGGCCTAATTTAAATGTTAATCCTCCTAAAAACGAGTATGAAATATTAATAACTTAAGATGGTTGTCTTGTCAGCAACAGCACGAACAGTTGGTGATGGCGCTCATCTTGTGTGTTTTGCTTCTTCTACCGCAATGCTATCGTTATTTTCAACCCCTTGTTTATGTTAATTAACTCTTGTAAATTTAATGTTCGGCACTTATACGATATTAAATGTTCAATATGTGCAACAAAACGTATTGTTTCGAGAAACCATTCGGCAAAAGTAGACAGAACATTTCACTGGCAAAAGAAGTTAATGTATGTAAGAGTTTAGGAAAACAATTATAATTGACACATTGATAACTATTTAAAGCACGAGGAACCAACATGAAATGCAAACCGAAACAACTAAGATCAAGAAAGAATTTTCTCACTGACAAAAACAAAGATGATCACAATTCCACAAAGCAAAAACGATCGTGATTAAAATGTAGTACTTACACAAGTGCCAGGATGAATTATCTACCCAATTATGGTTTTTCTTTTCTAAAATAGGAATTATAATTATTAAAATTGAATTGATGTTATTCTCAAGGAGAGCAACACCAATAACATAAAACGATAATGTCATGGATGGTTCTCGTCGAAAGTCGATCGTAAAAAAAGGGCAACTATTGGTGGGTTTTTTTAGTGGATTACAGAAATGTTTATCACTGGGGCAAAATTCCTTTAAAAAACAATACATTTATGTTTTCAAGTTTCGGGAAAGAGTAACATAAATTACACATTTTATAAAACGGGATTTATCATCAGACTGTTCTAGTGCTTTACTCCGAAGAAGCAAAATGTTTCAGGAGAGAAAAATAGAACTTGTTTCATTCTTTTAAATAACCCTAGCTACGTTATGTGCTATCTTGTCTTGCTATATTTTCACCACTTAGAATTTAAATTTCAACAAAACTTATTTCTCCAGCATATGCAACCGCTACTACAGATTAAGAAATTGGGAGTTTAAAAAATACAAAATGTTGGACTTAGCACATCTGAGAAACTGGCCGATGGGACTTGTGTATTTCTGGCCCAGCAAACCTTTTCTACTTGTTGAGACATGGACTTAGTCATTGCGATGCCAGGTGTGTTTACGGCGACTTGACCGAGGTAAAAACTTAGAGATGAACTTGTTCGCCTTGCTCGTTTTGCTGTGTGTAGACGTGGGTGTTTGGGATCCCGCACCAGACTCGGAGGTCCCTGCGGTGGCCGACTCGGACGCTCCCATGAATGCACAGACCTGCAGGTGAGCCTCAGGGTGGATTTTCACAGACTGGGAACCCTTGAAACCGAGGCAAGGTGAATCGTGTCGCTTGCTGGTGTACGGGTTGGGGACAACTTGGTGGTGGTGATGCTGGTGAAGAAGATGGTGGCTCCCTGATTTGTTGACAGACTTGTGATCTGACGCTGGGTCGTGATGCTTTCTCGACCTGTCCGAGCTTCGCATGTTGAGAGCGTCGTTATGAGAGTGAAGGAACGCTTCCAGGTTTGAAGGCGGGTGCTTGAGGAAATCGACATCTTCCGAGTGATGGTGGGGGTGGTGGTGGTGAGTGTTGATGAAGCTCACTGTGGGTGGGTTCACCTTCTGGATGTGGACTGGAGAGGTGAAGAAACTGTTGTTGTTGTTATTATTATTGTTGTTATTATTATTGTTGTGGTGGTGGTGTTGATGGTGATGATGGTGATGATGGCTGGAATGTGTTGTCATGTTGTTGTCGTAGACGCTCTCTGTGTGTCTGGGAGACGTGCTGTGTGGACGCCCGGGTGACGTAATCAGGCTGAACAGACGGCTCGGGCTGGTGGGGGAGAGGGGACTGGGCAGTGTAGACGCACGGCCACCCACCACCCCGCTTTTCGCTATTGATGAGGGAGAAAGGAAGGGAGGGGACGGGCTAGATTGGAGAGGGGGAGGGGAGGGTGGGGAGGGTAAGGCCAGGCTTGTGCTGTTGCTGTCATCACCCGAGGCTGCTTGGCTGGGCAGCGTGTGGTGGAGTTTGAGGATGCGGTCCCGGCAGATTACACAGCGGAGCGGGAGACAACGCTGAGACACTGCCACCTGGACGGAGAATAAAAGGGAAATGATATATTATTGGTTGAAAAATAAGTTCTAAACATTAGGTTGGAGGGTGTTCTGGAGTGGTCTGCTCTTTCTGTACTATCAAATATGTGTCGTCCTTAAATCTCCTTTTTTTTGGAGTTTGTGACTCTCTTGTAACACCTCAAATCTTCGACACAAACATGAAGTGAATAAGAGTGACTGTCTTGGACAGTTTCGCTAATAAGAAATGATGATCTTCTTGATCAGTGCGTGGCAACAGACTACACTCCACGCACTGTCAGTTTATAAATCAGTCAGTCTTAACAATGCATATCGCGGTATGAGGACAATGAGAAACAGTTCAGCACTTCCATTGAAATAGGCCGGCAGAAACAAGTAGCAGTAAACAATTAACACAACTGACAAAAACATAGATTATCGAAAAATTGGACCTAATACTAATAGCTTGGGCCTATGTTTTCCAACGCCAAGGGTACGTCCTTTCTGGACTTGACCGAACGGATCATTATGTCGGAATATTGGCAAACTTCTGTTCTTAACCACAAGGGAGCGGAACTAATTATGGTCAAATAATGCGGTGGCCCTAATGAACCGGAGCCTCAGAAATGGAAACTGTGGGGACTCACAGTATTGTGAGCTCAGGGGGGAGGGCCTCGTGCGTCTGCATGAGAGTGGGTAGACAAAAAGGAACGCCATCGGTTAGTTGCTATAAGCTGGTGTCGGTGTTGGTGCACCGTTGGATGTTTTTATTGCTTCTGTTGTTTTCTTTGATGATTTTATTCAAGTTGTTAAATATAAAACTTGTACATGAGCAAAGTTGATTGAAAAAGCTTGACCAGCACCCTGGGGTTTGACATGTGTGTAGGATTCTAATGGATATTACGTTTTTTTCAAATCCATTCAGCAACCATCTCAGTCCGGGATCATATTTAATAATATATGTATTCGTATCATTTAACGAGCCTTCAACTTTATAGAAAAGAACATCAATAGAGTCAAAGCGTTTGTAGCCTTGGGTGTAGCCCAATGCCAGTGGCAGCCAGCAAATATTAATTCATGACAAGCACGCTTGTGATTTATTCTTAGTTTTTGAAGTTGCTGATTCATTCGAACAGTTAAGAAAGGTAGCAGCGAGAAGACACTGGCGTTGCCTACATTCGTCTAAACTTTACCGATAGGGGTCATATGATATCTCGTTCAAGACAACATAATTATTGAAATTGGCAGGATTCCAAAGATTGAAAATGTATACAGTCGTCACGACACGCAAGCAAGCAAAATTCCAAAAGTCAAGGTTGAACAGACAGGACCATGTTTTGAATGTTTTTTTAACGGTGACTTGCCTCGCTGAAAATAATTTTGAAATTAATGTATTGATTTATTCTGCGTCCCGCCTTTCTATGTCGCTTAATCTTCTAATTACTTTTTGTTTCTAGGAAATTGATTGAACTAACCTTGAAAAAGATGATTTTGTCTTACGTTGGGTAATAACATCGCCACAAAATGACATTTGATATCGACGTTAACGTTTTAAACAAAGGGATGTTGATCTCTGATCATACCTCCCCTGCCCCCTACTACCTAAAACCAGTACAGCTAATAATAAACGTTCCTGGTCTCGCTTTTTCAATTGTAATTAATTTCACTATCACGTTTTGTCTTTTTTTTTCGAGAAGGAAGATTCTGAACACCGAATAGTGGAAAGTATAATGGTGATTGCTATGAAAGTATTAACCAAAGTCTCAGTGTCGTCGTTGATATATTTGAGTGAACTTTATTAAATACGAATGAGCTATAAAGATATCAACAGTCGTGTAGCAGCACTAACCCCAGAAACAACATGGACGGCAACAACAGCAACTACGGCAACAGCAGCAGCAACAAAAACAGCAACCGCAACAACAATAACAACAATTACAACAATAACAATAGTAGCAGCAGAAGAAAAAGCAGTAATAGTATTAACAATGACAACAACTAAGAAAACAGAACCACACTAACAATCAGTTACAGCATCAACCTCAACAACAATAACAACAACAGTAAATATCAGCAATGGCAATAAGTACGAAATAAAAACCATCAGAACATTAACGAAAGAATAACAACAGCAACAAGACTTAAGATTCGTATAAGATACGATAGGAAAATACACTACCTGTATGGTTTTGATGAGACATTTTCGGCAGACCACTTTATGTCCACAGGGGAACGTTTGCATCGTGGCGGCAGCTGCTAGACAGACCACACACTGAAAGACAATCAGAAATATCGTTTATTTAGAGTCTTAACCATGTTTCTTTTTTCAAGTTGAATAATTGTGAGGTATCATGGTGAAATCAGGTGCTTGTCAAAATAGTGGAATTCGAAGAATCCAGCATTTTCCCTATTTAACACTTTTATCTGATTTTGGATTTTTCATACATCAGCTTTATGCCAATCTAAAAATATTTTTTTGTGTGAATTTCACTGAAAAACATTGATTAAAGGTAAATCAAATAATACATTTTCAGTTTTCAAGGACTCTCAAGCTTTGGAAAGAACCAAACTCTGGCGTACATTTTCTCGCAAATTTTACCTCTGGCAACCCTCATCGTTCAGTAGCAAATATCTCGACTTCTGTTCCAAATAGATGGATATTTTTTAAAACCAAAAGCAAGTCAAATGAACAGATTTTAATATGATACCAATAACCCCAATTGCCCAAACATTGACGAGGGTCTGATTCCACCACGTCGTGCTACAATTACAGGTTATTCCTTTTTTTAAGGCTGACTTCACACTGAAAGAGAATCAGGAATAGAGTTTTAATCATGTTCCTTTTTACAAGTTGAGTAGTTACAGGGTTTTTTTCTTTTTCCCTGGCTGGATGAGGTAAAAGTCTTGTCTTGGAACAATATAACAGAATGTATCTATTACAGACGCCATACACTTAGCATGGGACCGAAGCCTGCACCCCCCCCCCCCTCTCTATCTTAAGGATACCAGAGATGGAAAAAGTAAAAAGTGAAAGTAAAACATTTAATTTTCCAAGCAGATTACACACTGAAGGAGAATCATAAACATAGTTCATTTAGAGTTGTAATAATGTTTCTTTTTTATCAAGTTGATATGTACAAATTGATTTTTTAAAGGGTTAAATGGTTGTCCCAATATTCGTCACTACTTAAACACCAGAAAGAATTCTTGCCTGCGTAAATAAAAACTTCTTAGTTCTCTTTAAAACTCAGTATTCACTACAATCTCTTAACCGACGTCCTTTTACCCTTCACGGGCACACAACCATACATGTCACACACACACACACACACACACACACACACACACACACACACACACACACAAACACAATTCTCGACTTATCCACTGTCTTAATAATTATATTTTTACCATGGTCCTAACGAAGCCCACAGGGCGAAATCTTGAGCTTTTTCAGTGTTATAATTATAAACATTGAAATTCTAGCATCAAACTCTTTTTAGCCTATATTTCATGTTTGTGCTTACAACAACGATGAAGATGATTGTGATGACGATGATGATGGTGTCTTGATGATGATTACCCTATTAAAAAAACAATTAATCATAACCGTTTTTCTTTTTTTAATTATACCATTTGCTTGAAAATAAATCAAGACTCTATCTACCCCGTTTTTAAAATGGTGATGATGATGATGATAATGATGATGATGATCCTGATGATGATATGTAATATAGTTAGGAAATCCTAAATCTAGCAAGACTCAACCTTTTTTATTCTCTCTTTACAATAACGATCATGATGGCGATAAATGTGATTGATCTTCCGGGGTGAATTGGAACCAACCATTTCAGGAAGGAAAAATTAGAAGAAAAGGAGACATGAGATGGAAAAACAACAAAAATGAATATATGAATAAATAAAAATTCATGAAATTCATAATATTCAAACTTGATGCTCTAGAAAAGTGCACGACACACAACTCCATTACTGTAAATAACGTTTTGGTTTGGGCACTATCGATTTGAGCTTTGGTTAAATCAAACCCATTTTGTTTTCACTCCTTCGGGTTATTTGATCATGTGATAGATATGTTTGCTTTCACCTCTACCCGACCCCCCCCCCCTGCCAATTTTTTTTTCTCACTGAGTCGGAGACAAACATAATAATTCATGCAGCTCTGGCTGAACTGTCTGTCTAGAGGTCCATGTTCATTCTATAGGTGTCAGAATGGAATTCCTGTTCGCAAACGAACATTTTAACAATGACTTTGTTAGATGACTTTCTAACGCCTCTCCGCCCTAAGACGAAAATGTATTCTAAGAACGTGGGTTGCTTTTGTTTTGTTTGTTTTGTTTGTGGGGGTTTTTTTTTGGGGGGGGGGGCGGGGTTGTTTTTGGTTTAACACACTATTAACACTATTAGATTGTTCTTGAGGAGGGATCTTTGAATTTGAAGTCTTTCTCCGATATGATCGATAGATCCAAAGGGGTTGAAAGCCTTAAAAAGTCCACAAAACGACCCATGTTCAAGAACACCCTGAGCCATTTTCTCCGTAGTCAAGCATGATACCAACAGAGCAACGGATCGTTCCATTTCAATATGAGTTTTCTTTAACATATTTACTGTGTGAAACAAAACGTTCCAGCCGTACTCCACTTTGCCATTAATTCGTCGGACTCAGACAAATAAGAACACTATAGATTTCTGCAATCTGTGCAGTTCACACGTGTATGGATATTTGAATGCCTATCCGTACAGCGTGTTTTATTATCGTATCCATACGACCTGAGGAACTCTGAGCAACCACTTTCAAAGAGGAAATTTACTCGTTAACGCGATCCGTACGCTTTGCATAGCAATCAGTCAAAATGATTTTTTTGAGAAATACTGAAATTTTCAAAGACGTCTTCGTACTAGAAGTATTCGAAAATGTGAAGAATACAACCCCGGGGGAACAAAATGACCCCACGGCGTACGGATAGGGTTAAGCAAACATTCAAAATTAACACACACTAAAAAGGGGCCAGGTTGACTGGCTGTTTTCTGCACCCACGACAAAAATGTGAGGCAGCGTGGTGGAATCAGGCTCTCGTAAAAATAATCAAAGTGAAGAAACTTGCATTTTTCCGCACGTTTGTGAATTTTTATCAAGTTTTTGTTTTTTGGCTCGACACCTTTCATGCCCATTAAAGAACTCATTTCTGTGTGGAATTTTCTGAAAAACGTTGAATAAAGGCACAAAAAAATGTAAATTTTCAGTTACCACGGACTCTTAAGCTAAGAAAATAACTAATCTTTGTCGGCCATTTTCTCACTAATTTTACCTCTGAAAACAGGTGACCGCCACCTCCTTATTTCGCAAATATCTCGACTTGTATTCAAGATAAATGGATATTTTTTTCATCCCAATAAAAACAAGCGAACATGCTTTAGGATGATACCAATAACTCTACATGCCCAAAAACTGACGAAAGCCTGATTCCACCACGCTGCCTCACAAATTATGTTATCCTTATGTTTCATGAACAGTCATTTCTGATTACTATTACTGGCATAGAAACCGATATTTCCTCATTTGGTAAAGATGAATAATAATATTCCGCAAGTATCAAAGAAACAATCCTAACGTTCTGAGTGGTTGGCAGGTGCTCTGTTGAGATTCAGTCTGCTATTTCCTTCCTACCCAACATATATCGTACTTATCTCTCCACTTCTCCTATGTGAATGCTACTCTCTGTGAACATCTCTTGTCTGCGGCACTAACGAGTCGTATACATTACTAATTGTCTGTTGTCATGGCAAAACGGAATCATGCGTCATCTTTCTTTTATATTTCGAACCCTACATCATAAGAAAGAGTAGGAATAGCATAATACATAACGCAAAACCTGTGTAAAGTGTTAGGATGTTGATTTAAAGAATTATATCAACCCCCCCCAACCTCTTTCCACCTTTTTTTCCAACGGAAAATACCAAGTTAACTGAAAATGTTCATCCGCTTATTAGCATTCAAATGAGAATAGTACGTCAGTGCAACAGAGCTGTCACATTATCTTTTCAAAGAAAACAGTAAAATGTCTCTCAGTAGAGTCTAAGAACATCCTAGTGGTTAGGCTCTCGGACTCGCAACCATAAGGTCGTGGGTTCGAATCCCGTCAGGGGCCCGACGTTGTGTCCTTGGGAAAGGCACTTTGCACAAATTTTCCTCACTTCACCCAGGTAGAAATGAGTACCCGGCTATAGACAGTTTGATTGTGTTTGAGCGCGTGAAATCCGCAGCTTGCACTGTATGCTTCCGCGGAAGCTGAGAATGTTTCTGAGTGTTCCCAGAGGGTCTGCTGTGGTAATAATAGTTGTAAAGCGCATAGAGCATGCTCTTGAGCATAGATATGCGCTATATAAATGCAATTATTATTATTATTATTATTGTTATTATTATTATTATTATTATTATTATTATTATTATCATTTATTATACTCCCGATCTATGGAGAAAGCTAGGTCTTTACATGTAGCAAAGAACATTCCTCGACTCCATCACAATCACACTTTAAACCATTTCCATCTTACCTCGTCGTCTATCTTGAGCTTTCCCTGAACATCTCCATCCACCGGTTCTCCCATCTTGGAAAGCAATTTATCCTGAAAAAAAAGCAAAGAAAAATCTTGAGTGTGATTTTGCCTGCGAATTCGAGCAAGCAATTAGGGAACGCGCTTTGGGAACAACGCCTTTTAAAAGTCGGATCCATTAAAACCAAAGAGTTCTCTAAACGGCTACAAAAAAGACAGCAATTGATATTTCGGACAGGATATAGATTTTTAAACCCTCCAGCTCATCGATCCAGCCGCATGAAACGTTAGATTACAGCAGCTCGATGCCGGTGCTTGTCGAAACTCATAATTTGGCGTCGTGACCAGGACGACTTCTCATTGTGCATGTGTGCATGGCATTGATTCCGCTGAGGCTGTCAATATTCTCCGCGATTCCATACCGTGAAGACTGATGTGTTTGTCTGGGCATTAACTAGTGCCACTGACAAACTGCAACTGAGAGCTTAGTTTTATCTGGCGGTATCTCGAAGATATAAATAGAACTTTTGATTCAAAAATAGAAAAGTTGTTGTTTGGTCTCTCTGAAAACGATTGATTTTTTATGCTCTCTATTGGGATACCCCCCCCCCCCTCCCATCCAGCAGATTCCAACCCCTTCTACAAATATGCCAATGCTTTTGAGATGGCAATGCCCTTCAAAGCAGTGGGTCAGAAACGGATGGCTTAGATACTGAAATCTGAACTAGCGCTCAGTACTCAGCCAAAGGTCATAAAGGACGCCACACTTTTACAGACATTGTTTCAGATTGTATCTACCCTTAAGGAAATTAATTTCATAGAGGCAAAATATTTCCTGATCTAAACATTTTAGGGGTTTACCTCAGCCTAGATTAAGTAGACGTCCATAGTTTCGTGCAGAAAAGACGTATATACAGACAGCCACTGACAATTGTTGCGAGAACGACAATAAATATTCAAGACTGCAACAAGCCCCATGAAAACATAGACAATGTAGATCTAGTAAATTATTTTCAAAGTGGACTTTAAAGACAGTGGAAAGCTTGTTTTTAAAAAAATGCACAACTCTCTGTGGTGTCAAATGACAGCTAGACAATGCTGCAATTGAAGACACATTACATATATAATATATAATTTCCCCCTGCCTGATTTTTAAAAAATCAATTTTAAGTGACCATAGCTCGGGTGTCTCTTAACATAGATGAAAAATTATTGTGTCACATGATGCAGAATTTATTTAGTTTTTAATTGGTATGCTGTATGAGTGGGTAGTGCAAGGCGTTAACACGATGATTGGGTGATTACATTTTCAAGTTGCTGTTGGACGCCACTAAATATATATGACTACAAATGTTTTGTTCATCCCCACCCCCACCCCAAAAAGATAAGAATAATAAATACATGAATAAATGAATGAATGAATTTATTTATTTAATTAACTAATTAATTAATTCGTTAAAATATAACTAAATAAGTAAATAAATAAATGAATAAACAAAGAAAGAAAGAACAAATGAATGAATAAATGAATAAATCAATCCAACACCTTGCTATGTCCCCTAGTCGTCCAGACACTTAATCGACGTTAACTGTGAAAGCCACACACACCAACATCATCCCCGCAGTAAAGAAAACAACTACTTACCCCACAGTTCTAGGATTTAAAAAAACCCTCCCCCTTATCCCCCACCCACAAAAAGACACACACTGACACATTCTCCCCCTTCCCACCCAACACCCTAACACCCACCCCTCACACACACACATGCACACACACACACACACACACACACACACACACACACACACACACACACACATAAACACACACACACAGACGACACACACACACACACACACACACACACATACACACACACGACACACTCACACACACACACACACACACACACACACACACACACGCACACACACGCACACACTAGCAGGTCTACACCACCGAGCAAAGCAGATTCAGTTGCCTGTAGGCTTCGGTGGAAAGTATCGAGTCTTCCTACCAGTCACGATCTACTTTATCCAGGCACGTTCTGGGACCAGAATACAATTAGTTAGCGGCGAGCATTTGGGCTGGGTAATGAGTCGCTTTAACAAAATCCGGACAATATGTTAGACCACCTCTTCGGCAAATAATAATATGTTATCTTGAATCGCTTCGTTAAATGGATTAGAACCACTTCGACAAAGGGGTTAGCATAATTTCAACAAGTTGGTGCACCCACTTCGGCAAACGGATCAGGAAAGAGAGTTAAGAGTCTGAATTCGGATAATGTTTCATTAAGAATTGTCCGGTTATCCGGATAGTTTATCCGGATTTTGCCCACCTCTACGAGCAATCCATGAGCACTTCCGAAACGGGGGCTATAGGTGGAGGGGGTTGGATGAAGGGGGTTGGATGACGGAGGGTTTTGGAAAGGAGGGGAGGTGTGAAGACTGATCTGGGAGGTACAATGGATGCAGAGGATGGAAGAATATTGTAGCTTGTACACACAGAGGTTGAGAATGCATGAGTTGCAATTTGATGGAGATAGTGTACATTTTCCTAAAGAATTTTATTGCGAGTGTATTGAATGAATTTTTGTCGTGTTGTTTTTCAACAGCCTGTTTTGTTTGTTTTTGTAAAGTGTTTTACGGCGCTAGCAACTGCATAGGTCATATGAGCGCGCAGGACACACCTAATGTCAACAGCCTGTTCTTAAGCGTATGGCATGGTACTCAATTTTAATTTTACTCCATTTATTTATTTATTTATTTAGTTATTTATTTACATATTATGGCTAAAACTATGGTACACCATTTCTTGAACCGGAGTTGGTGAGGCGGGAATGGTCCTCATTTGTTATCATATTCAAAAAT